CCTTTGTATGAAAATTACAGAGACGGCAGCAACAGCATGCACTGATGCCATAATTACAGTAGTACCAACGAATATCATCACGATCTCTGTACATTCTAGGTGATCTGGAACAACGTTGATAATAATAATAATAACTGTGAAGCTTTATTTCAGACAATATGCGAACATATATTGCAGCAATTTTCAGCGTATTTGTTTCTGAAATGTCTCCTCTTCATACAGAATTTACGTGTAAAGCAATAATCTTAAGTACATCATTTGTCGTAAAGTTGCTGCATATGAGGACACGACGATTTCTGTACATTTTTCTTCATTTCCTTCAAAAATTACATAGCAAACAGTTGGAAGCTAATTAAATATGCGCGTGAGTTCATGTATTGGTCATTTGGTATAATTGCTCGATTAAAACGATGAAAAGAGTTCAAGCATTTCAATGGCTGAAAATCCTGGTAGCCCGGTAATTTATGCAGGCCGCTGGATATATATGAGATGAGCTTCTAGAACGGCTTGATCGTGTGTGTGTGGTTAGTGCTGCTAAGTGGCACACTAAAGCAGACTGAGACAAAACATGAACAAGGTACATCAAATGACCAGGGATATACTTTGGACACCCCGGAAGTAAAAGAAAGAATACCACCACCTAAATGGAGGGCTCGTAAATTCCAAAGACGTTGAGAAAGACCATTTACGTAGTGAAGGTGTGGTGAGAGCTGTCTGTAAGCTAAAATTGTAGACAACAATCTACGTCAACGTTTGCGTCCCATATCGGGGTCATGAGAATAAGCAATAACAAAGCTTAACCTCTAGGAACACACCAACCAATCACAGCAGACTTGACAAGTGCAAAGACGATTCGCCTGACTTCCTAAGGAACGGCCAAAAAGAGATGACACAATAATATTCAGAAAGAAAACAACTAGTCAGAAGACGTTGATTCTCTGCTAACAATAACGAATAATAATGTACATGAAAATACGTAAATATCTCTTGATTTTTTCAATAGATGATCTTCTGCCTGGCCCTTGTCTTCTGTCATTGCAGACGTATTAAATGACTGCATCCGTAGGATCCAAGATCTCAGTTCCTCTAGTATATTGGTTACTCATTTCAACAAACTAAAACCTTTCAGCAGCAAGGTTCAGTTCAGACAAGTCCTACGGATATTGTCAACTAGTATTGCGCACTGTGCTATCATGGGAGACAAGGTAGTGTAAGGCATGGTAAGTCAGACGGTTTTCTTATGTTTAAGATGCATGCTTGCCCGATTTCAGGTCGGCTCCATGGCGCGCATGGATTGGTCTCCCAAAACGACGTGGTAGTGGACGAACAGGAAGATCCTTCCCCTCTCGTACGATTGTAATATGATTAGTTGTAAATATAATCCTTGACTTTGAGCTCTCGTTCTTACCAGCACGTGGCAGTTGTGTGATCACCCTGCTAACGTACGCTTTGCTCTCTGTTTCAGATCATAGCTTGATGATTGGCACTACACTACAGACAGCAATAGGTCATTTGATCAACGGATGCCCACATACTATGCGTATGGCAGATACATGATCGACAGAAGACTGTAGATGTATTTGAACATTCTATTTCATGTCGTTTAATGTTTTGTTTATGGCTGTTACAAATGTACACAAATTAGCGAATATTTAGTTTTTCCTAGCAGTTCAACCGGTCAACTTTTGCACTAGAAGTGGTAATCATGTCTACATGTCTTAAATCTTCCTCTTTTTTCAAAGTAATGGTTAATTTCGTTGAATTCATGTCATTAAGTGCTGAAGAAAATGATTTCTATAGTGTCACTGAATTTGTATAACATGTTAATGCATTAATAATACATGTATTCCTCATTATTCGTTTGCATGTTATAATTGATAAGATTGAATATGAATAAGCCTTTGCAAAAGTTGTGAGCTACACAGTTTATGAGGTTATCTTTGAATTACTAAGTAAAAGTGGGTATGCAGAGGACTTAATCGTGAACTCGGTAACAGAACAAATATGAGGATACAAATCCAAGTTAATGAAATGAAAATATGACAGTATGTTGGAAAATATAGCATTAACTTGTTTCAGGCATTAATGGTTACTTAGTTGTGCAGTTAAAGTCCACTGCTACAAATTATTAATATCATACAGAATAGTGTTCACTACTGGAGTCGTGTCTACTGGTAGAAGCTATGCACCGGTTGTAGTGTAGTTATCGGATGAGGTTAAGGAGCTCCTGCAAAATCCTCAGTATACAGCATGGTTAATAGTGAATCAGGTAGACAGTATAGACCAGTGAGAAGAGGAAGCGATGAGAGGCAAATTGTGGTTTAGATTCTACTCCAAAATTATGAATATTTTACAATGAATCGTTTTAAACAAAAGTTGTGTACAAAGTTTCTATTTTTAACATCTAACAAAAATCTGTACAACAGTATTGCTCCAGACTTCACAGGTATTCAGAGAAGCTTATTCACAAAAAGATTATGCTACTGTCAAATAAAGTGAATATGTTGACATCTCAAAGAAGGCATTTAGAGAATAAATCGTCTAGAGTTAATTATCGTCTTAGCAGAACATGTTGGGCTGCTATATTTTGATTAAACTAGCGTATACATATATCCTAATACTTATTCTCGTTTATAATTGTGTCCTAACGCTGTGCTTACTCGACACACACAACGTAAATCAGAAGACACTTGAGAAGGTGTAGGAATATGTATTTGTTGTGCTGCTATATTTTTGACTAAACTAGAGTACACGTATATTCTAGTACTTCTTCGCGTTTATAACTGTGTGCTAACGTTGCGATTACTCGACATCCACAACGTAATTCAAAAGGCACTTGCGAAGGAATACGATAGTGTATTATTGCAGCAATCAAAATTCAAAAACCGAGCGAGTACAAAAGGTATCAATTGTTAACATGCAAGATTTAGAGTAATAAACAAATCAAAGTACAGTTACACAATGAATGTATAGTACGATTATGAGTAATAAAATGGGTCACTACAATAGCCCCTCCGTAGAATGCAGCTAAATGAAGTTTACCTGTATTCGGAATGATATTGTAAATTACCAGGACAAAAAAGTATGAAAACCGAATTGAGGCTTTTAAGTTTTCTGAGGTTCGATTATAAATGTATATATTCGAAAATGTTAACAACTTTGAAACGAACTAAAATGTTTAGACAGTTGTGCAACATGTAACAATAAAAGCAGAAACATTATTATTAGAATAATAATGAGGTTGTTATTGTAAAGAGTTACAGAATAGATTTATATCTTAACATACAGTTAATAGTATAGTAATAAGGAAGTATGGGAATGACTTGGGTAAACATTCAGTTACCTCTATTTCCATGAAAGCTGGTTGTACAAGTGGAATTGTACAAGAATAGATGGCTGTGCCAGAGAAGAGTGCAGCAGTAGCTGCTGCTGATACGGTTGGAAGTGAACGTCCGTCAGTATGTTGTTGTTGTTGCTGGGGTGTTGTTACTCGACGTTGAGGAGTAACTTGAATTGATATTTGCTGAGGTTGGAGAGTAGCAGTTGGTTGATTGATAGCCATTCCAACAGAAGCAGTTGGCATAGACTGTGGTAAACCAGTGGTTTGAATCAATTGACCGTTAGGACCAACAGTCATGACTTTCAATGGAGCTCCTGGTGCCAGAATGATAAACTGGGGAGTAGCATAGGAGCGTGCAGCTACAGTACAAGGTTGACCATTGACAGAGACGTCAGTTGCCATCATTGTTGCTTGTTGCTGATGTTGTTGGATATAAGCTTGCTGTTGAGCTGGTTGTAACTGATGAGCTTGTGCTTGAATCTGTTGTTGGTGAGGTGATTGGGTAAACTGTTGTAATTGAACAGCTGTAGGACTGGCTTGAGTAAATAGAGTTGCAGACCATTGTAAGAGTGTTTGACCACCTGTAGACAATGCTGAAGCTTGAGGACTAAGGAAGAACTGTTGAGTTGTGCCTGCTGGATTACCAGAGAACTGGAATTGCTTCGATTCGATCGATTATTTGTTGGACGTTGACGTAGCAGGATAGTGTCTTTGAGCAAGTGAACATGAGTGCAGGTTGTGCGATGAGATAGCACAGGAATGAGTTCGAAATGTCTAGTAAATATATAGATCCACGAAAGTAAGAGTTTTATTATTCCAGCACGTGTAACGATGCGTCGAGGTCCACAATTTGTCGTCGGGCTCACCAGTTTGTCGTGCTGCTATATTTTGATTAAACTAGCGTATACATATATCCTAATACTTATTCTCGTTTATAATTGTGTCCTAACGCTGTGCTTACTCGACACACACAACGTAAATCAGAAGACACTTGAGAAGGTGTAGGAATATGTATTTGTTGTGCTGCTATATTTTTGACTAAACTAGAGTACACGTATATTCTAGTACTTCTTCGCGTTTATAACTGTGTGCTAACGTTGCGATTACTCGACATCCACAACGTAATTCAAAAGGCACTTGCGAAGGAATACGATAGTGTATTATTGCAGCAATCAAAATTCAAAAACCGAGCGAGTACAAAAGGTATCAATTGTTAACATGCAAGATTTAGAGTAATAAACAAATCAAAGTACAATTACACAATGAAAGTATAGTACGATTATGAGTAATAAAATAGGTCACTACAAACACAGCAGTCCAAAGTCACAAACTGAGAATGAACTTACCTGAGGAAGTTCACTTGTAATTTCTAGAATGTGGTAAAGTACCATGAGGAAAAGTCTTTATCTATGCTGTTATACTCATGACACAGTACAACTACGATTTTAATATTAATCTAGACAGAATGTCTACTGTTTGCTGTCGTAGAACATGATACGCTACTATCTATTCATCTTATCACATTATAAAAAAAAATTTCCTCAGACACCACATTGTTTCCTAATAGTCAGTCAACCCTTAATTTCCAGCCTATTACATACATGTTACTGATTTTCCAGGGAGACAATCGCATTACCACAAAGGGAAAACAGATATATTGAAAAAGTTTTTATTACACAAAAATAGATTTCAATTGTACAGATAATTCTATTACTGTCAACAGGTTCCATCTGAGCACACAGTAGATATACGTTTCTCCATAAGAGTCTAAAAAGGTTCAAGAAAAGCACTATTAACTTGGGTAGTACATGAATGATCTGAATAAATATGAAATTTTTCCAGATGACAACTTGACTTGGTAAGCATTTCAAGTAGACACTTTACGTACATACAATAAACAGAAGTAGCTAAATAGTTTTCACTAAGCTTAAAGGACTTGTTAGTCGACATCTGTTAGGTTTATGGAAGCCTCATGAAATGATAAAACTATATAATCATAACTTATGCAGTAAGTAATTCCCAAAGCTTGAAGAGGAATGTTAACACAAATGATAACGGCTTTATGACAAATAATAAATAACACTATTAAAAGCAATAATAATAATAATAAAATAATGGCTATGATTATAACAGTCATAATGGATGCTATTACCACAGCTAATTCATTATTAGCTTAGATAAACCACCAAGTCCTTAGACTTTGTTATGGAATGAATTCATTGAATTCAGCAAAGAAATCCACTGATATATCATTTCTTTCCTGTGTTGTAATACTGTGGTATTGTGAGTTATGCAACCGACCAAACAACTTCCTCCTGGAAATGCGAACTACAGTGCATTCATCAAGTCGCCAGATGGTATTTAAAATTAGCGCAAATCCAGTGACGAAATGACCAATTACAGGCAACACTGTCAGTTGTTTATCTCACGGTCATCTACAGGCTATCACATTATTTTGGGTGTAGGCATTCAGAAAACGCTGTTATTGGCTGCCACTCACCATGTAATAATGGCTGCAGAACTGTACCAGCAGCTAAATCTGATGCGAATTTCATGATGGGAAAAAGGGTTTAAGAGATGAAAGATATCTACGTTTGCGCAAGGTACTGTAGTGTACATTGTACCTTCCAACTTTTGTTTGAATGAACTCAGTCTGACCTTAAAACCCAACTTCCACTTTGTATTCCTGAACCTCCTGTACGGTTTCGGTTTCGCTCTCTCGCTGTGCTTTCACCTAGCACACTCTCCGAGCTTACACCGCCTCACCTGCAGATAAGTGTGTACCTCTTATTTCTTATCAAATTATATATATCTTTTGTGTAAATACAATTCTGTTCCAGTCACACTTGCCATCTCAAGTCTTTTAACCTTGATTCCGTTCGTTAGTACTTGCACGTTAGGCAGAGTACGTTTAAGGCCATAAGAGGTGAAGAAGTTTTGTGAGAGTGGTTGTTGTTAGGTCGAAGTATACTAAGTCTAACTCTTACAGTACGTTGAATATAAATGCAACTTTTTATCTTGTAACTCCCAAAGTACTTGTTCTGCTTGAACCAAAGACAAAACAAAATAAGAGAAATGCTTCAGGAATCATAGCGCGATGATCATTTGTGTAAATGGCTAGAGATCTTGCACGAACAACAGAAAGTAACGTGACCGTATGACAAGTGGCGAGGTTGGCTGACTGCAGACCTTCATGTGAACAGGTTGACTTAAACAATGAAAAACGCTGTAGTCTTATAATTTTAGAGAACTACTGACGTCCACAGGAATATTTACGTCTAGACATATAATTACAGTTTCTGAACTCATAGTTTCTCGCAGTCTCTACTGCCGTATTATTCATGAGTAGCGTCTTTACATGATCTTTGAAAAATCTATTAAAGTTTGAGATAATGTTTACAGTGTGGAGTAAAATGTGGGATAATAATTTATAAAATCGATAAATCTCCTCCAGTTTCTAAGATAATCTGAAGTAGGTCTATCTTTGGTTGCTTCTGTTTCTGGTATAGTACCTTTCTCACTCATTACCTGTTTCTAAGATTGGAGTAATTCTTGCGTAAATTCTCACTGTTATGGATAATTGGTAATACTATATTGCTTAAGTCCTTGGAGAACTGTGCGCAGACGCTGTAGACTTCAGCTTCTGATATATTTGCAACAAGGGTATCATATGCAGAAGCATGAACAAACCGTGGACCATAAGGCTCGTGGACCATGAACCTTGCAAATGTCTGTGCTGTATTAGTTAATACAAAATTCGTGGGCATAAATTAAGATAATCTGAAAGGAGTAGTGACAGCAGTTTTTGGAATATCTTTCGGTCTCACTGGGATATGGTATGGTAATAAGCCTGGAATAGATCAGTCTTCCATAAAAAACCTTAATAAGTTGTGTGTGTGTGTATGTGTTTGTGGTATAGAGCATCTGTTCTAACGTGTTTGTCTACTCATTGCTCTAATGTTTACGCATAGCCACATACCACTCGATGTCTTTTTAGAGCCATGTTTAACGAAGATCAATATGCGATTCGAGATGGTTATATGATGCCACAATGCAAAAGCTTATCAAATTCCTCTGGTAGAATATAACAAATCGATCCAAGTCAATGCTTCCTTTTCAAACAGATCTTTGTTAGGAACTGTACTCAAACTTATATTGCAACTTTAATGTGACATAGAATTTGACAATCTAGTGGTGGCTAATTTGTCAACAGTAATTGGTCAGTGTCATCGCGTCAAAGGAGTGATAAATAACCGCGGAAATTAATGCAATAAAATAAAAGGTGTAAAGATTTGTTGAAGAGCATGTTGTCACATAATGGAGAATTTTGACAAATAAGAAGAACAAGTAGGTGATCAAATTATTAAAATCGATTACAATAGAATAATAAACGATAAAGTAAGGAGAATAATAAAGTACTCAAGGTTATAATGACTTGTAAATGCCATAGGTAGAGAGGAAAACAGTCAATCTTCGTGTTACTGAAGTGATGTCTCGGGTAGGGGTGATGAAAGTGTGAATTTCTTCTGAACATACAGGTTCGGTTTCTCCAGGTGGATTCCAATGGCTTTTGGTGTATATAGGAGATGAGTGGGTAACGAGAAATGGAGATTGCTTGGATTAAGAAGGTTGACTCTTAATGCTTCGCTAACATCATCAGCATGATCAGTGATAATAAAGAGCCAAGAATAGAACTTGTTTCTCTTTTACTTAAGCACAAAGAATAGCATTCAGAAATAGTGCATAAGCAGTACAGTATATGAATACACCACAATCAGATGCACAAGTTCATGCAAGCAAAACTGATCTTGAGAGCCAAATGAGTGATTAGAAAATACTGCATAATTAACATTCTTCTTATTGATAGTCAATATGTACTATAAACACAAGAATAACATACAAAGTCAGTAGTATTCTTGATGTGATGAGAGCTTTTCTCTCTTGAAAGAGAATAAATAATACGGTTAACTTGTATTACTGAAATAACTATGAAGAAGAAAAGTTGTTGATAACTTCAATGTCTACTGGGTTATGCACAAGAGTAGAGAATGAATACAATTACTGGCAGTGATAATAACAATAATAATAATTATAGTAATAATGATAATGAACTAGTGACAACAGTAATTAGTACACAGATTCAATCAATAATGTGATTAGTACCAGTTGAGTCAATACACGCATTCCTCATTCTCTCAAGGCAAAAAGAGAAAATGATATACACGTATGTGGAGATTAGCGGACACTTGTTTCACTTACATATGCACGTGTGTATATAAGCAGAGATATCTTCTATAAAGCGAAAGAAATTCTTGGGCAGAATCAAGCGTGTAGACAATTAATTCAGTGGAATGAATAGATATCTAAGGTTTATGTATTGCGTGACGTTTGGAGACAAGATACTTGGTGAGGGGATGTTCACTTTTGAAATTTGATATCTCTGTTCAGCGAAATTATGTGGACCTCATTTGGAAGTCGTCATTTTCACAGATCTCGCGTGGTGCTGCTGCTTGCTAATTCTGCCCCTCGCGTTTTGTTTCCTTATCTTCTTTTCGTGTCTCGCATGTTTTACCGCAACGCTGAATGCTAACAAATTTTTAGGACTCTAAGTGCTTGCTGACGAGCTAGAAGAGGTAAGAAATTCTGAAATTGTCAAACCTGTTGAATGCCATTTTGAACACAAATTAACCAGGTGGGGTTAATTTAGTACAATAAACACTCGAATATAATCTTAAGGCTGATCAGAAACCAGACAGTATCAGAGGAAGTTGTTCAATATGCTTGCATTACTCATGTTTTACGATCAGTGATCTGCTCAACTGTTAGTGGAAACATTTCACTAGATCATTTCCGTACGGATGATATGTAGTAGTGCATGTGTGATGTATAGCGAGGAGTTCAGTGAATTTTCGAAACACATTTGTCTGGTAGTGTTATCTTCTATGTGTGGAGACTGTAAATGATGTAGACAAACTGACACTATGTTTCCAACTGATATATCATTTAGACAATCCACCTACGGAATCTGTCAACTGCCGGCAAATAAATGCTCGGAATCTGCTGGTAAAGACAGCTGTCTGTCACATATTTGCAGAGATATTTGTAAGGAAACAAGGAAATGTGAGAGTGACTGAGAAAGTGAGACTTGAGAAGTGGAAGTCACACTGGGCTACATGAATGATATACTTTGTAGTGTGATATGACAATCTTTGTGAATGACTTGATTCTGAGTCACTTCAGCAGTCTGCACTGCACAGTATTTTCCATTAATAAGATGCTACGATTAACGGAAGGGAGAGTGACACAAAGAGAGGAGGATTATTTCGAAACCAACTAGAACTGAGCAAACAAATAGAAATATCGTAGGCTTTTGCACAATATATGCCAATATGAAATGAGATAAGTCAGCGAAAACGTTAGCACAGAAATATTTACCATCTTGCGAGTGATAACAATGATAATGTAAATATTTAATACGCATGAAGGAAAACTCACATTACATGGTGTAGTAAGTCTGTATGCATCATTTGTTAGTGAGTTGTTAGTCAGAGGTAAAGAGGCGATTGGCCATTGATCGTTCGATGTTAACCAACATGTGGTCAACATTACCAGTGGACACACTGAATTGCTTCAGATTCGTAAGACTTTTGTTTAATCTCGCCAGCACTATGCCCAAATACGCATCATCTATTCGAATCTCCTGTGTGAATGACATCACAATAGATGCTTGCTCCACCAATTCTGCTCCCAGTATGTAACATACACCAAAGAAATATGGGGGAAAATAATCCCATGGATATTCCTCACGTGAAATACTCCAACGAGAATTAGAGACTCCACCAGCTGGATGCACCACCACAGATGTCGGATGGACCCGACCACCAGCAAACCACTTCACCTCAGATCTATTCAGTGATCTCACCAGCTTGATTGTGTTTCCAGGATGAAGTACATAGTCATCGTCAAGAAACAGAAACAAAGGTGTTCGGTTGTGAAACGTCGTCGACGCCCAACGAAATGTCAACATCATCTTCTTGGTTAAGTTGAAGTAGTTGTCGTAGAATCCACCAACCAACACATCTCCATGAGAGTCACTCTCCTGTTTCAACTCCCTCAACGCAGACCAACCAGATGACTCTTGTTTCTTAGATAGCTGTTCAGACCTTCCATTCAACACAACAGTCACTCCATTGAAGTAGTGAATATTTATTGGTGTGGGTGTTGGCAGTCCAACAACGAAGACAAATTTCACTTTGAAGTTATTCCAGTGATCAGATTTCATATAGGTTTTACGAGCATATGATCGTTGTTCAGTGCAGTACACGCATGACTTGACGAGGACAACCAAATCAAATGTTTCTCCACTGTGTGAGGGATTACAGGTGTTGTCGGGTGATTGCACTGCCAGAAGAGCATCGTTGTTTATCGGTATCTGAAATTGCAGACATTGAAAGGATAATTTGTGAGTGGAATGGCAGTCAAATATATCTGATGCAGGTTACGAAGATTGTGGATGAATAGACTGATGCTGTGACTAGTTGGACGATGCATTGATCATGAGACTGCTGTTGACGTAATGGGTAATCTTTGAATGTTGGAATGGCATGTGTGAATATGATCTGAAGATGAAGTTGTAAGATTACCAAACATCAATGAACAACACTCACCTACCCTGCTTACTGAACAGCATCACTAAGATTGACAAGCGAATATGAGTTGGTCGTCAAGCATCAGTTAGCCGCATGACTGACTACCTATCAATATTCTTAGTGCTTGCAATGGAATGATTCACGCATTAGCTGCTTCGTCTCGTAACTCAGATTGTGTAGCGAGTCTGTGCGCATGTGGCTCAAATCAAATCACTGACCACTCATTCATCACACCTTCAATAATCGATGAATAGTCACTGGGAGTTAACTTAATCGTGATCCTGTCACTTTTATCAGACTTGGTTGATACTTGAGAGAGTATTGATTTGCACTGCGGCTTGCCACCAAGATCATGCTTACAGTGGTGACACCCGAAGGGAAAATAATTAAAATGAATTCAATGAATTCCCTTTCAGATGCGTCACAGTCGAATATCAACACTGACAGATGATTTTAACAGTGACAGTCCACCAATCTTAGAAAAATACTGTTGATATCGCAGTCAATGAAAAGTAAATTAGACGGCTACACACTAAATAATAATTAGTCAAATTACAGAAGCAACTTAACGGAGTTTGCAGATACAGGGAACTGGGTAAGCGCTACCTCTTCACTCATCAACTTAGTTAACTGTGGATTCGCATGATGAAAAGCGTATATGTGTGTTGTGTGACATACAACCTAGTCCTGCTTATACGATAGCAATCAGATCTCGTGACATACCTCATCCTCAGGAAAACCGACTGAAATTCCATCCATATATTTCGTCATATTGAAACGCATTGGATAATGTCTAGAGACTGTAGGTCTACTGACGTTTCTTCCAGCCAATTCATCATTCGTTTGTTTATATAGTAGATTCAATCCTCTAACTCCACTATTCATGCCTGATTTCACCACACTGAAACTAATTCGAAAATCATACAAGTTCACATTTGTGTGCATGAGTGGTATCGAGATCAATGAGAAGGGGAACATTCCAACAGACGGTTGAAATCCCTTCGACAAGGTGTGATAGTTCACCTTTGCAATATTTAATGAATCCACAAACGACATCCACGACTTTTCTGACCTCACGATTTCACCGAAACTGTCATTTGTGCATGCTAGAGACGTTTTCACATTAACAGGTAGTGTATTTTTGAAATACGGTATTTGGAAGTGAAGATAGTAGGAGGATAGCATAAACACTAGCAGAAGTATTAGTAGTAATACTGACAGAATTCTGCTCGTCATGGAGTATAATTTGTTACACAGATAAGCTGGAATAATCATTTTGGCCTGATCAACAACGACGTAGTCTCCGATTGTGATGAGTTCGATATGAGAGAGAGAGAGAATTAGAAATGTGGCTATCTTATGAATAATTCACTCGATATCTCCACTGTTAGCACTAGTCGAGTTTCAGTCGCAATCTACTTCCATCAGTTTTTATTCACCTTAATATATTTATGTACTTATATGTAAGAATCAAAAATAATCTCGCCATCAGCGTCCTTGAACTCCAATCAGGTTGTTTTTGAGCAGTGAGTAAATGATTGATTTATCCAATGGAATGCACCCACCCGCATTTACTGCTTACTTTCATTTGCCAAAGCTGACCACTGGACAAACAGACACTAAGTAGAATGAACCAGTAGTTTACACACTTGTGTGTTTGTGTGTATGTGTGTGAGAGACAGATAATCTGTGAGTTGGTTTTCAAGTGAATACAGCTACATGAGAGAAAAGCAGTGAGTTACATTCAGATACTGAGAGATGAATAATGAGATGAAGGGATTGTTTTGTGAATAGCATATTGATGTGTAGCCGGATTGTGCTAATATTGATTATATGGGGATTGAGGAAGTGTTCATGAATCCTCTGACACAGACAGTTGAGGAGACTTGGAGAAATCCTTCACAAATGTGTAGACGCAATGTAACGCAGAAATCGGATTGAATGTAGAAGGAATGAAATTGGACATACGCATGACTGTCGTGAGGAGAAATATGAGGCTATTCGACTGTTGTTTCTGCAATCAATAAATGGATCATCCTGAAAATATTCAGACTATCCATCCAGTGGGGAATGCCGTTTGGAATGACATTTCGCTGTGTAATGTTAACAGTATCAGTCGCACTGCAAATCTGTCATCTTAATCACTCATGTGTATCTGTTCGAATGTCTTCTCACTGCCTTTCCATGTGCATATTTGCAAATCAATCTTTATTGTATTCATTATTATTAGTATTGTAGTCAGCATTATTGTTATTCGTACCTTCGATTTTAAGTAGAAAATAGGTCTTCAGCAGCGTGTCTATATTGAATTCTGTTCTCTGGCATCAATTCTACATGGCTGAAAGTCTGCGTGCAATCTTTAGTCTCTTCCACGTTTCTCTACCACCTAAGCCCATTAACTGACACCCACTTTCCACTTCACAGTCTGCAGTGTGATGTCATTATTATTACTGACTCTGTTAAGTTCTGCTGATATGCATACGGATTCCCAAGTCAACAAAACCAGTCTCACCCAGTCTCATTGTAAATTATCAAGCATAGAGTGTTGGGATCGCATGCAAAGTGTGTTCACTGTTTGATATCAAAATTTATTTATAGAGTCTCATAATCAATTGTCTCACTCATCTTAACATACATTTTACACAAAACGCCAGCAATATCTATGCATATAGGTTTAACGAGGACGAGACAGTATCTAATTTATCATAATTTTCTGTCCACTACAGGATTAAGTGAAGTTCGTTAAGTATTTGTTCAAACGCATTCCCCTTATATGTACTGCCGACAGAGTTGAAGAAGAAAGACAACAGCTCACTGAAATATGGTTGGATGACAATTATCCACTGAGATTTATTAGCCGTTACGGAATTGTCAACCAAGTGGCCCTACGAATCCAATCAGCTACCAAAACGGATGTTTATACATCCTTGCCGTTGATCAACAAAGACTCAAGGCGGCGATTCATAGAACTTACTATGCAGCTAAACGTATCCTTAGAGAGAAAGCGAGAAGTATGCTGTCCTGTTAACTGTCACAGTATTCGAATGATTGTGTCACATCCCATTGTGTTTATCGATTTACATGTATGTGTGTGTAGACGCATGTACATAGGGATGACCCATCGATGTCTGAATTGTAGGGCTATAGAAAGGATTCCAAAGTGGCTGCAACGTAAAATTAAATCGCCAGACACATACGATCCAGGAAATATATGTCTATCATCATCTTTAGCGAACCACATTATAGAGACTAGTCTCAAGCTTGATTTCAATAATGCCTTGAAACCCATGTATGAAGCGAGGTTGTCACATTCTTAAATTCGCTGCAATCTTGGCCATGAAACCGTGTCTACGAAAGTTATTCGCTTTGACTTTAAACCTGCCTTGGTAGTCCAATTTAGAACCAAGGTCCAATTCACTTCATAATATTTTCAACCCCTTCGTTGATTTTGTTTTCTCTTTCTTACGCGCACCTTTGCGTCATCTCTCCACCCACTATCAGTGACCTGTATTGTAATGATTCATGCCTTCTTGCCTTCATAAAACTGTGTGTGACAAGTACGTGTGTGATCAGAATGTCCGAAATGTGTTGCGCAAATACATTAAGCGATTGGGAACAACAACGTCCTCTTCTTGTGTTGTCGAGGAACAGACACTCAACAAACGCGAAAGCGCCACTCACTTTGTGGTGAGCATCCACACTAAGAAGCAAATTTAGGCCACTAACTCAACATTAACACTAAGACTTCCACAGACTATCAGTCTTTAATATTTCTCTAACTAAATCATATAGCTATCATATCCTGATCCGATGCTTTCTATTCCTTCAACTTAATCTCAAACTAACCAGGCTGATTTTCAACAATTTTACACTGCATTCAACATGAGCATCTGTTTTCACTGAAATCAATATGAAGATCAGCTGTACTCCGCATCAAGATCATGATCTGGATTTTCAACGCTTATGTCCAGTCAGAGAGAGCTTCTGTATGACTCGGAGACTTGTCGCCAGCATCACAAAACGCATACTGAAAAGACTGCAGACATTTATCAACAGATACCTTCGCTACACACTGAAAATCAAATCGTTGGCCAGAAACAACTAGCAACAGATGTTGTCTCACCAACCGAATGGAAATCAGTGGCTGGATTGAAACTATGGGGGATATCGCGTGTGACGTACTTAATATAATTCTGATCATTATACTATACGACATCCGCGCTTACACGTTGTACGATGTGCTAATTGTGTAAATGGCCATATACGAGCAAAGTTGTGTTAAGAGTAAGAAGTGAAATTTTGAGAGGATAGAATGTTAACGACGGCGAATTTCGAAAAGACGACTTTCAGATGAGGTGAACAGAGATATCAAACTCCAGAATGAACATTCACTCACCAAGTATCTTGTCTCCAACCATCAAGGAATCAGTGAAACTTAGTAATCTATACATTCCATTGACTAAATTGTCTACACGCTTGATTTTGCCTAAGAATTTCTTTCGCTTTATGGTAGATATCTCTGCTTACATACACACGTGCATATGTGAGTGAAACAAGTGTCCGCTAATCTCCACACACGTGTATATCATTTTCTCATTTCGGTTAAAGAGAATGGAGCATGCGTGTATTGACTCAACTGGTACTAATCACATTATTGATTGAATCTGTGTACTAATTACTGTTGTCACTAGTTCATTAGCATTATTACTACCATTATCATTATTACTATAATTATTATTATTGTTATTATCACTGCCAGTAATTGTATTCATTCTCTACTCTTGTGCATAACCCAGTAGACACTGAAGTTATCAACAACGTTTCTTCTTCATAGTTATTTCAGTAATACAAGTTAACCGTATTATTTATTCTCTTTCAAGAGAGAAAACCAACCATCACATCAAGAATACTACTGACTTTGTATGTTATTCTTGTGTTTATAGTACATATTGACTATCAATGAGAAGAATGTTAATTATGCAGTATTTTCTAATCACTCATTTGGCTCTCAAGATCAGTTTTGCTTGCATGAATTTGTGCATTGGATTGTGGTGTATTCACATACTGTACTGTTTATACTCTATTACAAAAATATTCATTCAGACATCTATAAAACACAAAATAATCGAGCAAAGAGTATTCTTTTCGATAAATTCCTCTTCTGGCTCTACAATTATATGTATATATGTTTATATACACAGAATATTTTAAATTAGTAGTTAATAACAATATTAGCGTTTTTTTAAATAACATCGATTTGTAAAGTATGATCAATGGAATTACAGTTCATTAGAGATGCTTAAATAATAATAATAATAAAGATACAACAGCGAATAGAATATCAACTAAAATTAGGTAAATTTCACAAAAATTCCGGATTATTCAAACCTAGATGGCCAAGGTAATGATAATGACTGAACTAACTTCTTTTGGGTGCATAAATTAGGCTTATTAATATGAATCCCCACAGCCTCAGCAATATTTAGAAGTCGAACTCTTAAAGCGAAATTGAGATTCGTAGGTATGAGGTAAATGACCCTGAAAGCATGATTAACGTCAATCTTATGTTCTGTCTCCACAAGATGCGCCAGAATAGCGCTGCGAATAGATTTTGTTTGACCTTTGCTTAACCAGGCAGGGTGATGTTCGGAAATTCGACGAGAAACACGGCTCATTGTACGACCTATGTAACTGGCTCCACAGGAGCAGTTAAATTGTTATATACACATGGAAGAGGCGAAATTAGGCAGTTTGTCTTTTATTCCCGAACGCAGAAGAGGGGTGGTTTTAAAGATACAGCGTGATTGAGCAGCAGGGAATGCTCTTTTTACCGCATTTCTGAGGCGATGTGTTAGTATCTCACTTGTATTGTCTCCTAGGAACCGCATCTGTAAGAACAAGGCTTTCTTTGGAACTGTTCGTAACTTGGACTGTTTTGGTTTTAGATTCATATTCTTATCAATAAACTTTTCAGGATAACCATTCTCACTTAGCAACCGTTTAATATTGTTAAGCTCCTCGTCAAGACATTCATCCGAGCAAATCTCTCTTGCTCTGTGGACCAAGCACTTTATTAGATTGCGTTTGTATTTCTAGGGCACAAAGCTGAGAAAATGTGTGTACTGGCCCGTTGATGTAGGTTTTCTATAAACACTTCTTCTTATTGTGCCATCCTCTTTTCTGGTCATAAGGACGTCTAGAAATGATATACTGGAGTCTTTTTCTTTCTCAATAGTAAAATTTATTGCAGGATGTACCTCATTAAATTTGTCCAGGATGTTCTTTGCCTCCCTTTCGTTCTTCATAATCAAAAAAGTATCACCCATGTATCGACAATAAAATTCGAGTTCATTAATAACATCTTTCAAAGGCCCATTTTGTAGTTTCGCCAGGAAAATGTCAGCTAGAATGGGTCCTAGTGGCGACCCCATTGTC